GTTGGCACTGAGGCTGCCTTGTGTGCTTAACTGAAGTGTTCTTGGCTGGGGTTCAGCTTGCATTCCTCTAAGCAACCAAACTCCTTGATAATTACTCCTTTTTTTTTTTTTTTTGTAATTCTCCTCATCTCGTTGTGCCAAGTTATCCCCCAGATATTCTGCTCCTAGTGCACTGAAGTGCTAGACACGCTGAAGTGTCTCAAGTCACATTCTTGGTTTGTTCTCTGGCCTTTTGCATTGCAAAGAGCAATAGAGACAGGAGCTGGATTTCAGTGTTCCAGGACACCTGGGCTCAGAGTGCCCGTCAGAAACATCCACCCTGAGCTGTGTGTGGATGGCAGGGGATGGGGACTTGAGCAAAACTCTATTTGTGCTGGAGCCACCGTGCCCCTTGTGCTTCTCACAGCAGCTCCAGGCACTTTCTCCCGTTCTTGTGATTCCCTTCCTGAACTGCTGCAGCCGAGTAATTGTTTCATCATGTTGCCCTGAAATATTTTCCCATCGTGTCACCATCACACACGTTTCTCAAACCAAAGCTCCTCTGTTCACTTATAGAAAATCCATCCCAAAGCACCTGTGGGGAGGGAGCAGGGCAGGTGAGGCTCGGGGGGGTTTGGGTGTTTGGAGGTTGTGGTTCCTGTCACTGCCATTTCCAGCACCACCAGCGAGCTGCTCAGCACAGCACTAATGATCTGCTGTTGCAATACACTGGCAAAGGCACAGTATTTATATTTATAGCAAACAAACAAGGCTGGGTCCGTGTGGGGCTGGGGACTGGAGCCTCCTGCAGCCTCCTGGCCAAGGCTCTGCTCTTTCCAGAGGTGTCTGCACTGAGCCCAGCAAAGGCAGGGCTGCTGCTGAGCCAGTGCTTCTCCAGCCTCAGTTCACAGAGGATTTATTCTGCAAATTGTATGAAATTAGGAAATTAACGAAATTAACTAAAACCTCTGATTAAATACCCTGAGCTCTGGGAAGGTGCTTTGACAACTATGGCATGTGTGATACAGGAACCCTAAAAGCAAGGGCCAACAGGACAGGGCAAGACGAAAACCAGATGTAGATCACAGTCTTTCTTAATTTTTAGTTAGCAAGAAATTATTTTTTGAATTTATTATTAATTATTATTATATTAATCACTTCTATAGTAAATGTATTTTGGGGGGGATTTTATAATAAATGAGGGTTAAATTTGGCACTATTTTGTGAAATTGTGGAAGGTTTGGAATTAAATATGTCCCTGTTGTAAATGCAAATCAATTATCTTAAGCAAGTCTTAACCCACTTATCCTCATTTTGAATTCCAGCCCGATAGTTTCCCACATCGATCCACCAGCACATCTAGGAGGGGAGAAAAGCCTTTTATTCAAAACCAAACATTTGAACCATTGAGCAGGTGGGGAAATGATCACAAAAGGCAAGTTGGTTTCCAGTGGAGTTTCCAGTTTCCAGCAGATCAAATGCAGTGTATTTAGGGAACCAGGGCCCTGCCAGCCCTGGGAGCTGCAGTGCCTGAGCAGGGTGATTTTTATTTGGCAGAGGAACAACAATTAGTGTAGGAAGATGCATGAATTTTCCTGCATCTTCCAAGAGTCACCAATGTAAGGCAGTGGGAAAAGTGGAAAAGCAACACCACAGTGTCAGAGCTGCACTGGGCTGCACAGGCTTTGGGCAGATAACAAGAGTGATAATTGAGGAACTGCTTTCAAAACGATAATTGTATTTTTAAATATTTTTTTAACTGCTACATATGATTCGTTTTGCAGAACTAAGCACTACTGAGTTCAAACACCTTATAAACCAGTGCTTTGGAAAGGGGATATCAGTGCCAAGGATTTACAGACTGACTTCTGCAGAGGAAAAAACCTCTGTTATTTTAGTAGCAATGTGAAAGACCTGTAGAAATTAACCAGTGTAATACACCTTTTGAAAAGAAAGATAAAAATAAGGAGCCCAAGTGAAATGCTGCTGATAAATTTCCATAAAACTGAGCACAGCTCTCTGGAGTTCTCTGCACGGTTTGCCCACCACGAGCTGTCCTGGTGCCTTTGGGAAGAGCAGCTCTGGAAGCTCTGTCCGAGGCCAGCTGAGACATTCCAAGTGCTGCCCTCAGCCAGCAGAATCTTATTTGTCATGGGAAACTAAATCAATATTTGGAGCTGAGACACTGTTTGGACAGGGATTTTCCAATCCCCCCACTGCAATTAGAAAAGGTATTTGGAATCTTTTGTCTACTTTAGTGCTTGGAATTTTCTCAGATTCATTTACAAGCTGTTCTTTCCAGACTATTATTTTCTAGGAAATGTTTTAATTACCCGGACTTTTTCTTATGCTGTTTTAGAGGGCAGAGTATTTCATGACCTCCATGCATTTAATGGCACTACAAAACTCCTACAATGTAAGTTATGAGGGTAATACAAGATTAAGAATGAAGGATTGGGGAATTCTCTTTCCAAGTCTCTCACAGATCCCTTCTACTACCACTGTAAAATTGGTGCATTTATGGCCTTGATTTTGCTGGACAAGGTTCCCCCTGAACTAGAAATCTGTCATCCTAATTAGGAGATACCTTGGAACACGGCAGTAATTTAAACATCATTCTTTAAATTGCAGCAAGGCTGCCCTGGCTCTCCTGCACTGGGGCAGGCAGGGTTTAAGGATGGGGATTAGCTCCTTCATGCCTGGTAGGGCTCAATCTCCAAAACTGGACTATTATTTAAACAGATATAAATACCTTCAGTACATCTTATCTTTTAATCTACCCTGCCTTCCAGCCCCCACAAACTGAACTCTTGTTGGAAACCTTGTTGTTTAGAAAGAAATAAAGAAATGTATGTGAGGACATCTCCAGTCCTCCAGCAACCCCACCTTGGGCAGCGCTGGGCTCTGCCTGGGAACGCTGGGGTGACATTGTGTGGCCTCCAGCACAAGGAGAAAATTGGATCTAAGGATGTGGATAAGTTTCGTAATGATACAAATAGTAGAAGAAACAGCCAGGGGAGGCTGGAGTAATCATGGTCACGAGGGACAGGCAAGACAAGATCTAACGTCTATCCTGCCTGCAAGAACTTGAGTCATGCTGCTGCAGGAGCGAGCTCACCCAAGAAATCTATTCCAGGGGCTCGTAAAAACAGCTCAACTGCACCGTGCAGATGGAAAAACAACGGGGGGAATCTGTGTAGGGCTAAGCCTGCCCTGCTCACTGCTGCACAGCTCTGGGGAGAGCAGGGAAAGTCAGGGAATGTCAGGGAGGGCTCCAGCTGATGGACCTGCAGGAGGCTCTGATCTCCAGAGTAAAAAAAGCAAAGCAGTTCTGTCAGTAGAAAACATGTTTTGCTTAAAGGGACACTAGAAATAAGCAACAAATTTGGGATTTGTCCTGCAGCCCACGGCTGTTTGTGTGGAATGTATAGGAACAAATTCAAGGCCTTTGGACTGAAACCCCCTTTTGTGCTCAGCTGTCAGAGCACAGGCAGTAAAGGAGTTTCTTTCCCCAGGCACTGGGAATCTGGATCTGAAAACTTCATGCTTAAATTTGGCCTAGCAGGAAAGTGGAAAATGCTGACTAAGACCTGATCTTTTGCCCAGCTCTCTCCACGTAACCAGCCTGGGACTGTTCACTCCTCACAGACCTCACAGCAGGGAATAACACAGAGAGCAGAGCCTTGGATCTCCCCAAAACAAAGCCCTGGCCTGCCACAAACCTCCTCCTCCTCTGCCACCCCCATTTGTCTGTCCCTTGCCCCCAGCAAACACCTCTCACCACAGAATCTGCCTGCAGTTTTTAGGCAAATGCCTCAGGAGCAAAGGGAAGGGGGTGGTTCATGAGCCTCTCACCTGGTTGGGTCTCATGGGAGCTTCCTGAGCAATGCCCGAAATGACCGAAATCCAACAGAAATGCTACTTTCTCATGTTTATTCCTGTAAACTACAAACATAAGAAATGCTGAATCATAGAGAATAGAAACTCCGTAAAGAAAAAAAAAAAACCAAACAAACATAAACAAACCCCAAACACAAACAAAGCCTCATTTCAGGCTTCCTCCCTTACTTTTTCTTCTTCCCTCCCACTTCAGACTCGGCGTTATTTGCCAAGGATTGGTCATGGTTTGGATAGCACATCTTGCTCTACACGTTCAAAACAGCATGAAGTGCAGAAAAAAACCCAACACAAACACCTCCTCCCCAAACAACACCCAAGCAGCAGCTAAAGCAGGTGATTAGAGGAAACAACATGAGGCAACAAGAACTGGCTAAGGCTTCCAGCTCTGCTCTTTGCTGAGTTTCTCCTAGGGGTTTGGTTTTGGTTATTGGGTTGTTTTTTTTCCTTTCTCTCAGAGAAAGCTAAAAGACCAACAAAAATCCCTATCCCTGATCACAGCACTGAGCCAGAGTCAGCTGGAATTTCAACCCTGTGTTTAATCTAACTTTAAACATGCCTTCAAAATAAAACAAGCTACTTTTTTTTTTAACCTAGTCATAAAGTTTATTAAAATTGTTCATTAATGCTTCAAATGTAGCAAGAATGCATAGATCCCAAAATATACATATGTATTTTCTTATAGAAATAGATTATTCTTTATAATAAAAAAACTGTAGGAACATCTTTAACAGATTACTCAATCCATGACTGACAGTTACACGAGATTGCATCATGTACACAGCATTCCCAGCCATGCTTAAAGGATTGCATCACTTTGCCCTTGCTCTCCTCTCGCTCTTTTAAATAACCCAGCGCCCAGCAGAGCCCGCCCGGGCCGGGGCCGGGGTCCCCCCGCGCCCCCTCCGCTGCAGCCCCGGCCCCGCTCCGACCCCGCGCGGCGGCGGAGCCTTCCGCCAACATGTCGGTAAAGACAAAAAAAAAAAAAAAAAAAAAAAAAAAAAAAAAAAAAAAAAAAAA